ATATACAGAAAACACTTGTGATGAATAATTAAAAAATTGCATAATAAATATCTTACATAATTAATAAGTCATTGCATTTAATTATTCATCACATGGAGATAAATGTGGCAGATCTTATTTTCTGAATCAATGTGCACATTTCAGATGATCCGATATTTAAACATAGGTACTATATTTTTGAAATTCGCTAAAAAGAGTTGCTAAATTTCGACTGTGAGTGGCTAAAAGTGAACAAGTTTCTTAGAAAATAGTATTTTTACAAAATACTATAATTATTTCTACATGTGTCATATTTTTGTTAACCTCTGCTATTTTATTTTTATATCTAGTTTCTCGTTGGAATAAACTTTTAACAATAAAAGTCATCTATATAAATCTTGTCTATGATTAGCCAGAGCACCCTAGCAAACTGAGCAACTCCCGTTCCATATCTTAAATTTTAATCCAGTGAGGAATATACATATGTAACAGATATATTAATTTCCTACATTATTACCCATTTTCAAGAAAAACCCTAATGCACGTACACTTATAATTTCGAAAACACACTTTTTACAGAAAAACTCCTCCTATTCTCCCGTAACAAGCGATACCTCTTTTTACAGGGTATTCAATTGTCTATTCAGTGTTATCAATTATATTGAATATCGTTCATGCATGTTAAAGAAAATAAACTGTTTCAAATCATTTATTATATGAAATATTATAGTCCAAATTTTCAAATTGAAAGCCATTTGTTTTCTAACAATAGTAAAGGTGTAGCTAAAACTTATCGACAGCATTTCAAATGGTTTCGGAAGTGATACATTCTAATTATTCTCAACATCTGACATTCAAACTTTCATCAATGATGACTGCTTTAGATTTCACGTTTATACAAAAAGTAGTCAAGCGATGTCATATCGTGAGAACGGACTGGGCACTCTATCGCACCTAGTGGTGGGACACTATCTTACTGATAGTCCTATGTTAACTACCTGTTTTTTTAGTACCTCTGATTTGCTACGTATTTCCTCTATGTTAGTTATTATCTCTTATATTTATCTGCTTTTTATTTAGAATTATTACATACACTTCACTGAAGTTATTCCTGCATATGCGATACAACTGCCGCAATAAATTTTCAATTATTGGAACACACTTGCAGACCGGTATTGGGCTATTTGGCCCCTCGTCAGTGCAGTAGTGTCTATCATCAACATAAATTCGATGATTTCCGATAATTAAAAATCGAATTCCTTCAGAGTATCATTCCTCGAACAACAAACAACAGGTTTTCAAACAATGGATTGCATTGTTTCATTAAACATCTTCATTGAATTAATAACCAATTATACTCGTAATCGAAGGCCGTCAGGTAGGTTTATGTAAAATATGGGTTTTCCTCAATGTCTACCAAAATATCACAGTTTTCTATTCATTATCAATCAACAAAACCGCCTGGTGTTGGAATACCTCTGACAATTCCAAATTCACGACAATTTGTTTCTATACTAGTGATGGTAGTATGTATGATTAAGATATTATTGATAAACATTTCACGTACATTCTTCTGGATTCTAATTTGTGTAATTGATGACTTGTTTATTTTGTGGAAAGTCATGATCACTATAATGAAACGTATGAAAACACTTTTGTCTAATTTCCACTAGTTATTTTATTTTCAAGACCGGTTTCAGGTTTCATCATTATCATTTATAAATGTATTAGTTTTTATATTTGATAATGAGATAAAACCTGAAACCCGTCATGAAAATAAAATAATTAGTGGAAATTAGGCAAAAGTGTTTTCATTCATTTCATTAAACTCTTCTGTATATCATTAAAGTCTTTGTTGTTTCAAAAGTTTTGTCCGTTTTAATATCATATCTCAATAAATATTTATTGTACCATGTCGTAGTATATACTGATCGATAGAGAATTTTGTACTGCTGTTGATGCTGATTTTGTTTGATGCTTTTATTTTTCTAAATTTGAATTTCCTGCCTCTTTTCAGCTTATTAGTATATGATGTCAATATGGAATGATGGAATATAGTCAAAGAAATAAAAGGCACAAAAAAAGATAATTCTATCAAAAAAATAAATGTTGTTGGCACAACTATAAGTGATCCAAGTCAAATAGCCAACCATTTGAATACTTTCTTTGAGAATGCACCACACTCGTTATCNCAGAATAGAAGCAATGCCTCAACAAATCATTTTTCAATTTTCTCTTGTATGTGTTTATACTGAGTTCTTTGAAATCTTTGCGACAAAATATTGTACAGAGAGTAATCTATGGAATTTTTTTGCGACAAGTGAAGACGAAATCGATTTATTCTAATGTGGTGAGCGTTTCGTGTGTTATGACATTGTTTCGCCAAGGATGGTTTCTTCTTATGGATTTCAATCAAAACGTAATAGAGAAATAAAGTTGGCAATGGCATAATTCTGAGTTTTTTGAATTATTCTTGACAGTTGACAAATATTCTGAATCCAATATTAGCACTCTCAATGCCTTCTTTTGCATCTTAGAT